AAAATGTCAGGTGTTTTGTTTAGCAAAAAAAAAAAACTCAGTAGTGATTAAATACCACCAAAAGAAAGCTATATTTGTGTGAAAAAATGATAAAAATTTCATATGGGTACAGTGTTGCATGACCGTGCAATTGTCATTCAAAATGCGACAGCGCTGAAAGCTGAAAATTGGCCTGGGCAGGAAGGGGGTAAAGTGCCCGGTATTGAAGCAGTTAAATGGACAGCACTGAGTACCAGAGTCAGGCTACCAACTAGGGTATAGTGTTCCTTCTCATCCATTCTGTTATGAAGTTTACGGAAGGCTGATCAATTTAGGTACATCTGGCAGCTTTATGAAAACATACATTTAAAGTATATCTAAAACCAAAACTTTTTGGTATACAGTAGGGAATGTCTAAAACTAGGTGTTTTGGGTTTGCTGATGTCTCTAGGAGAATCCTAGAATTTTGTGCGGATTCACCCAGTTGATTCTTTAAAAAATTGTATAGCCTTCAGACTATGGCCAGCAGGCTTAAAAGGACAAATAATTGAGCTTTTGGATACGCCAGTCCCACCCCCACCCACTAAACTATAAATGGGGCAGCCATATTGCCAGTGTTTTGGAAGCTGCCATGGGGAAAGGATAACAATGACGGCTGCATAGGGAGAGCTTAGGGTCAGTTAGGAAACTGTAGTTTAATTCTGATTGCTAGTTCTTTGGATAATCAATCCCTTTGCTGTCTTTTTTCTTTGTTTGTTCTTATTATTGGATTTTTTTTGTCTTTCATTTTATTTTGCAATTGATTTGAGGTTAGCGATCACTTTTAGTTGCTGTGCCGTTCATGGAAAACTCTGTTTTTCCTGCAATGCTTTCCTTTTTAAAATGGGCTTTTGTTTCAAGGGGTGTTTTCATTTATGTTGATATATTTTTTTTTATTATATGTTGAGAGGGCCTTTGTTTGGATTACGCTGCTTTTGTTGACTGTGAGCCTATCCCTCCAAAAAGTGGGCTTTTGTGGCATGGGTGGAATTTTGGGGTGTTAATTTCTTTTGGGTTTTTTTATAATGTTGATAGGTTTTTTTAAGCTTGGGGTGCATTCATTGTTACTGTCCATCTTTAAGCTGTTCTTTGTTTGCAGCATGCCACTTCATCATTTGAAAAGGAAAATACAACTGAGTGTAGGCACAGACTGCAGTTAAACCACCTCGGATTGATAAAATAAATGTTAGGCATACACCAGTTAGGTCTATTATCCTTGATTAAAACTGTCCTGCTAACTTTCCAATTGTATACAGATGTATCCTCTGCAGTATCACAATTCTTATAGTAAAGCTCCATCCCGTGCTCTTTGTCTCTAGTAAATTTGGGCCTAGCCTTGCTATTTATAATTGGCCCTGCTGCTGGCTAATTTGACATTGGTGTGTCTTCTGTAGTCTCCTAATTCTAGTAGCACAATACCTGCCTGTACACTTTTTCTTTCATCCAGTTCTCCCTGATTAAAATCGTCCTGCTACTGGCCAATTTTACTCTGCTGTCCCCTATGGATTTCAAAGGCAATCAGCTCTAAGTTTGAGTTCTCATTTTGAACAAGACTTGCCAAACCCCTGGTGATTTGAACCTGGACAGATAAGCCCATCACTAGTTAAAGCTCTAAGGCTCGGTTCACACTGCTAGGAACCCAAAGTCCTGTAATTTGCTTGTGATTTCCTTGCGACTTTTGTGATTTTTCCATTGCAGACTATGGAACTCAAGTCACAGAAAATTACTACAGGAACTTTTTTTTTTTTTTTTTTGTTCGCTACGACATGAGTCACATTGATTAAGAGGGCACCCATTGAAATAAATGTGTTTTGACTTGTCATGTGACTTTATGTGTCTCAAACGCAATATTCCCAATGCACGCGGTACTGCAGCTGGCTATTCAGTATTGCTGGGTGTTGTAGTGACCACAGGCTGGGAACCGTAGACAATCCGAGTGATGAAATGTCACTAGCACACCAGGGATTCCTCAAAATGGGTCCAAAGCGTTATTTCATGGTCACATGGTAAATACAAGGCAACGTTTCGGAGCCCCTTCGTCAGGCAAGTGAACCGGGGCATAATGAGCTTTTTTTTATTACTTCTGTGTCCCACTGGGGAGATTTCCCTTCATTTATTGCCCTGTGGACACAATAGGAAATGAGAGAATTTATCAAGTTTTTCCCACTGGAAGTTTCCCTCCCACTCCTGATTTGGTGACAACTGAAATTTTTGTATTTTCCCTCACTTTCAGTCCCAGTGACAATGGTCATACGACAAATAGAGAGGGCAAATCTTCATAATGCGCTCCTTTCATTGAGCACATGACTAGGACATTTTATATTTTATTTTTTCCCATATTTTATTAATTTTGCCTGGAGTCCTGTTTTAAATGTGCCAGTTTGTACTACCTTTATATTGCACAACAGCATGCATTTTTTTAGAGGGTGGGCAGCTTTCAAAGTGGATCAGGGCTTTCCATTTGCACTTGGCTGTCAGTCTTACAACGTGAACATATTTACAGGAGAGGGGCGCACACAGATAACCTCATCAGTATGCAGCTGGTCCTCTGCTGTCTATGCAGAGGCTGTGGTTTGGAAGGTGACACCGTTGTATATTTTATCTGTAACAGAAAAAGCGATGTCACAGATGAAATACATGCACAGCTCTGTCTAGCAGGAGATGGAAGCTGATCTTCCTCTACTGTGCTTTCACTTTCACTTACAAAGCGGCTGCTGAGAGCACAGCAGTGTATTCTCTAGGACAGGCTGTCCCCACAGCATCCAGGAGATGGAAGCTGATCTTCCTCTACTGTGCTTTCACTTTCACTTACAAAGCGGCTGAGAGCACAGCAGTGTATTCTCTCAGACAGCTGAGCGTCCCCACCCTAACACAAGTGGAAACTCAGAGTCCTATTGGCAGGATCAACTGCCATTTACACAGCAGTACAAGATTTTTTTTTCCCTAAAATTAGATGGTGGGCTTTTGGTGTTGCGGGACGGCAGAATTCCAGTAATTTTATGATTTGCCTATGATTCTAATTCAACTTCTCTGTAGCCTCCCTAGCGATCTGATTATATCAGTATTTCTGTGCTCAAAGCGGTACATTTTTTTGCATGGAAATATGTATTTTTTTTTTATTGTAGGCCTGTAATTTTTAGGAATAACTCACTGAAATCTGTCCGAACAAGAGTCTAGTAAACATCCCGGGTATGTTAAAATTTGAAACACGAAATCAGAAATTATAATTTAATAAATATTCCTAAAAAAAATAATAATATAATAATAATAATACATTTAATTCAATAATATAATCAAACCAAAAACACTGAAATTTGAAATAGAGCGCCAAGTTCGCACATCGCTGAGCAAAGTCGCAAAATCGTTTTCAGTGTCTGATGACAAATTTCCCCCACGAATCATTATCACTCAATTCTGCAAGTGGTTCTGATTTACTATCGCTGTTCTCTAGCCGGTCTAAAACCGCTTTTGACCTAAAGGGACACTTTTTTTGGACGCCATGGACGTTTCTCAGTTTTCAGGCAGAAGAACAGTCAAAATGCAGGCAGGGCACAGGACAAAGCACTCGGGACAAAATGTATGTGAAATGGTTTGATACAGCAATGTTTTACTATGTGATTTTAGTGTATTTAGTGAATGTCACTTTTTCACATTTTTAAATTCCCCGCCGGTTCCGTTCCCGTACGTCCCGACATCGCAGGGAACGAAACCCAGAAGACAGATGCCGGGATCCGCCAGAGGACATTGCAGGGGACACTGCAGGAGGGACAAAGCGGGAGCGCAGGACAAGTGAAGTGAAGAACAGATCCCGGAGCAACGCTGCAGTGTATTCCCGAGTGTAGCTCGGGGGTTACCGCTTGTGGTGCTGAAACTTTACCCCGAGCTACACTCGGAAATACCACCAGGGAGGTTAATCAATCCAAACCTAAAAAAACGCATTCTGAGCCTTGCTTTTTACACCCTTCATTGAAGACACCTAGAAATGTTTCAAATGAAAAAATTAGATTGTTTTTTTTTTTAGTCTTGGCTGTTAGGTTAAAGTCAAATGTAACTACATAATACACAAAATACAGTTAGTGGTACAAAGCCTAGTAACGAACGTTCTTCCCTTCAGCAAATACCCCGCGCTTTACCTCTCTATTGATGAAGTCGCTCACATCATTAATAATGCAGAGTATCTCCATACAGGGACACAGGAGGAAGCCTGACTGCTCTCGCTAAAGCGGCCGCTGGCATCTGTCATTTAGACGCAGCTCACGCATTTCGTTATCTCCCTAAGGAGATGCTGCAACTTTCAGGTATCATCCAAAATATTGTCACTGTGGCGCTTTTTAATAGACAGCCGCGAAGGCAGGATTGATATGCAGCTGACGTCTGCCGGTTAATGATGGAAAGTGCCGAATTGTACGCTGTGAAGAGCCCCAGACTTGCGGTGACACAGAGAGGCACTGACTCCCCTATCAAAACTAACACAAGGACAAGTGGAGAATATGTCAGCTTGCCTGTCAGCTCATATCAGAAGACAGCAATGTCTGCTACTGATAACCTCCATACTTTGTCCGCATAAGGAGACCCACAACCTTTTTTTTAACAGGAGGCAGCCTCATCTTCTCCCTAGATGGCCTCCTATCCTACGGTATGTGTACATTGGGAAAAGAGGCGATTGTTTCTGGTGGGAAGGTCAACATCATTGTTTTTTCGGGCAATTTGTAACTTGATAATGGTTAATAAAGGTGCAAAGTAATTGAAGTATAACTAAAGCCAGAACAATTTCTTTTAGTTTTGGACAGAGTAGGGAATGGTTAATACTCCCTGTCAGCAGGCCAGATCTAGCCTGTCCGATGTGGGGGTGCAATAAAAAATGTCAGTGGGGAAAAGGATGGGAGGTCAGCAGGGCAGAGGACAGGGGTCACTGCCGGCAGGGCAGAAGACAGGGGTCATTGCTGGCTGGGTAGAAGACAGGGTCACTGCTGGCTGGGCAGAGGACAGGGGTCACTGCTGGCTGGGCAGAAGACAGGGGTCACTGCTGGCTGGGTAGAAGACAGGGGTCACTGCTGGCTGGGCAGAAGACAGGGGTCACTGCTGGCAGAGCAGAAGACAGGGGTCACTGCTGGCAGGGCAGAGGACAGAGGTCACTGCTGGCAGGGCAGAAGATGGGTCACTGCTGGCAGGGCAGAACACAGGGGTCATTGCTGGCTGGGTAGAAGTCAGGGGTCACTGCTGGCTGGGCAGAGGTCATTGCTGGCTGGGTAGAAGACAGGGGTCACTGCTGGCTGGGCAGAAGACAGGGGTCACTGCTGGCTGGGCAGAGGACAGGGGTCACCGATGGCTGGGCAGAAGACAGGGGTCACTGCTGGCAGGGCAGAAGACAGCGGTTACTGCTGGCTGGGCAGAAGACAGAGGTCACTGCTGACTGGGCAGAGGACAGAGGTCACTGCTGACTGGGTAGAAGACAGGGTCACTGCTGGCAGTGCAGAGGACAGGGGTCACTGCTGGCTGGGCAGAGGACAGGGGTCACTGCTTACAGGGCAGAAGACAGAGGTCACTGCTTACAGGGCAGAAGACAGAGGTCACTGCTGACAGGGCAGAATACAGGGGTCACTGCTGGCAGGGCAGAGGATAGGGGTCACTGCTGGCTGGACAGAAGACAGGGGTCACTGCTGGCTGGGCAGAAGACAGAGGTCACTGCTGGCAGGGCAGTAGATACAGGGGTCACTGCTGGCAGGGCAGAAGATAGGGATCACTATTGGCTGGGCAGAAGACAGGGGTCACTGCTGGCTGGGCAGAAGACAGGGGTCACTGCTGGCTGGGCAGAAGACAGGGGTCACTGCTGGCAGGGCAGAAGACAGTGGCACAGATCCTTCTCCCATCCCTGCACTGCACACAGCCTGGGCACAGGCAGCAGAGCTCCTCCTAACCACACAATGCATACCAGTATACTGCCACTAAAGGACGGTATAGTCTCAGGTTAGGGAAGTATAGTATCAAACTAGGGTAGTAAAGTATCAGATAAGGGTGGTATAGTGTCAGATTAAAGCAGTTTAGTGGTAGGTTAGGGTTGTATAGTGGCAGGTTAGAGTTGACTTTGGGGGGAGGGGGCACAACTAAAATCTGGGGGTGGCATAGCCCACCCCAGCACCCCTCTAGATCCAGCCATGCCTGTCAGGAAGGTTGGTTGCACTGCCCCAAATGTAGATCTGCATGGTACAGCTCATGGATCGCTGCATCACATCAGGGGCGGTGCGCACATCTGGTCATGTTGGTGCTCATGCTAACGTCCGTACTTCTGCAAATCTTCATTAACGTGAAAGAACATGCATGTCCAGCACCAGCTATGGCACCAACAGAGGTGTGGCCTCTATTAGAAGGTGGAGCTCTAATACAGGCATGGGTTTCATGTATTAAACATGGGGTCTGATTTACTAAAAGCAGATAGGCTGTTCACTTTGAAATGGAATTTTCACTTTGCAAGGAAATTTCCCCAAAGCTTAATAAATGTGGTGAGAATTCACTTTGCAAATAGTACCCAATCACATACAAGGAAAATAAAAATAATACGTAAAGAAAACATTGGATGATGGAAGTCAGCAGAGCTTCAGCAGAGAAAATTCCTTTGCAAAGTGAACAATCTATTTGCTTTTTAGCAGATCAGCCCCATGGCCAGCATTTGTGACCGGGAGGAGCACCAACAAGGATTGATTTATTAAATACAAATAGGCTGTTTACTTTGCAAGGGAAGTTGCACCAGAGCTTAGTGAATACGGGGAAGTTTCACTGTGAAAGCAATACCCAATCACGTGCAAGGGAAAGAAACAGCATTTTTGCTTGCACATGATTGGATGATGGGTTCACATAATGGTTTGTAGTCTTACTGTTTCCCTTAACTACCTGAGTACTTTAACCACTTACCCTCCAGAGGATTTATTCCCCTTCCTGACCAGGCCTTTTTTTGCAATACGGTGCTGCGTTACTTTAACTGACAATTCCGCGGTCATGCAACGCTGCATCCAAATGAAATTTACATCCTTTTTTTCCCACACAAATAGAGCTTTCTTTCAGTGGTATTTGATCACCTCTGAGTTTTTTATTTTTTGCGCTATAAAAGAAAAGGACACCAATTTTTAGAAAAAAAAACAATATTTTTGACTTTTTACTATTAAACATGTCCAGTAAAAAAATTTAAAAAATCAAATTTCGTCATAAATTTAGGTCAAAATGTATTCTGCTGCATTTCTTTGCTAAAGAAAAATCCCAATACGCTTAAATTAATTGGTTTATGTGAGAGTTATAGCGTTTACAAATGGTGGCATAGATACTGGAGTTTTTCATATATTAGTAATGGCGGCGATCAGCAACTTATAGCGGAACTGCGGCGGGGATTCTGCCACTGGTGGGGAACTGACTGTCACTGACATCCTCAGTGACACTAATACAGTGATCAATGCTAATAAAAAGCACTGACACTGTACTAAGAGCACTGGGCAGGAAGGGGTTAACATCTGGGGCAATCAAAGGGTTAACTGTGTGCTGTTTCACTGTGTGCTGTGTGTGTGCTTTACACTGTAAGCACACTGCTTTGTATGGCTCTGCTATGCAGAACCAAACAAAGCAGTGTGCAAGAGCTGACAGGGAAGAGACCTGTATTGTTTACATACAGGTCTCTCCCTGTCTGTGACACACGGCGATAGCTGGGTGCCGGCCGGGAATCACCGGCCGAGACCCGTTAATCAACAGGGTAGGGGGCGTGCGTGTGCGGCATGCGCATGCCCCTTACCCAGAAATGCAAAGTCATATATATAGAAGTGATTTTGCACACCCCTGCCACCCTGTAGCAGTATTTCTGCTATAGGGCAGTGGGAGAGCATTAATACGAGCATTGTTCTCCTGTTTGTAAGCTCATATCAACTCTTATCCTCCATTTGGTCAGTTTTTTTCTAAATTGTAATTTTCTACCCAGTGTCAACTTCTTTTTGGATTTTTTTTTTTTTTTATTTTACCCTGCATTGGGGGGGGGGGGATTTACTAAAACTGTAGAGTGCAAAATCTTGTGCAGCTCTACATAGAAACCAATCAGCTACCAGGTTTTACTGTCAAAGCTTAACTGAACAAGCTGAAGTTAGAAGCTGATTGGCTCCCATGCACAGCTGCACCAGATTCTGAATGCTCCAGTTTTAGTAAATCCCCCCCATTGTCTTTTGAAAATCCCCTTTAAATTCTAGTATTGCTAAACATCTCTAAAAGCATTTCCCCTTCTAAAAAAAAAAAGTCCTAATTTTTAGTCTATTGTATTAGAAATCAGCTAATGACACTGAGTGCAAAGTGCTACCTAATAATGCTGCAACCCTGATTGCACGCTTATGGAGGCTTGCTGATTTCCCTTGAAGTATCCCCTCCCTCATGCCGGAGAGAGAGAGAAACGGCATCACGCTGAAGCGGCGGCTGAAAGGAATAGTCTGACGACTGAGTGACTTGGTGGAAGGAAGTAATTAGAGTGATTGAAAGATGTGCGCAGGAAACAGTCGCTGAAAGAATAATAGCAAAATCAGACACAACTGAGCAAATAGACATCCTCCCCCAGACATTTTACAGAAGTATTTTTTATATTTCAGAGCAAGGTTGTGTTTTTCAAATGACTTTATTTTCCAGTGAAATACAGAAAAAATTGTTGTTCGAAAACATGTCAAATGGTTTGTAGCAGAGTAATCCTAAGCTTTTATAAATTAATTCATCCAAATGGTGCAATTTTTATATCTTTAAATTGGATCTCTCGTTAGAAACCGCACATAAAAGAGGCTCAGAGACCAAATCATTTTGTTGCTAATAGCAAATCTCTCTAAATTCGACAAATAAAAACAAAGGAAGCAATTATACAGTGTTTTTACATATATTTGAATTATTTATTATTCAGGAATAAATTTAAAATAAAATATATAGTTTAATTCATTTGATCTCCTCAATATGAAATGTTGTACATGACCATTTAGTAATTTTTACTAGCAGTCACTATGTGTAGAGCTAGTTTGCCTTCTCTTCTTCGCCAGACTGTTTATTGTACACAGCTGGAGCTCAAATTATAGAAACAGCTGAAACACATCCCTTCCCTCTCTCCTCTCTGCTTTGTATGTACAGCTGTCTGGATTTTCCACTGAAAGTGAGCGGCTAGTGCTGGGCTTGCCCTTTAGAAAGCCCAGCATGCAAAATCTCTCAGCATTAAATGTTACTTTTTCCATGCCGCCCGCAGTATTTCTGCTTCTGTATATATACGTGATTTTGCAGTTCCGGGTAGGGGGCGCGCACGGGTAGCCTACCCGCTCTGCCATTTGCGGCCTCAGCTGTCAATTACTGGGTCCCGGCCGGTGATTCCCTGCCGGCACCTGGCGATCACCGAGTATTACCAACAGGGGAGAGACCTGTGTATAAACCACACAGATCTCTCCCCTGTCAGCTCCTGCACACTGCTTTGTATGGCTCCCCGCTACGCCATTTGCGGCCTCGGCTGTCAATTACCGGGGTCCCGGCCGGTGATTCCCTGCCGGCACCTGGAGATCGCCGAGTATTACCAACAGGGGAGAGACCTGTGTATAAACAACACAGATCTCTCCCCTGTCAGCTCCTGCACACTGCTTTGTATGGCTCTGCATAGCAGAGCCATACAAAGCAGTGTGCTTACATTGTAAAGTACACACACAGCACAAAGTTAACCCTTTGCGGCCTCGGCTGTCAATTACCGGGTCCCGGCCAGTGATTCCCTGCCGGCACCTGGAGATCGCCGAGTATTACCAACAGGGGAGAGACCTGTGTATAAACCACACAGATCTCTCCCCTGTCAGCTCCTGCACACTGCTTTGTATGGCTCTGCATAGCAGAGCCATACAAAGCAGTGTGCTTACATTGTAAAGTACACACACAGCACAAAGTTAACCCTTTGATCGCCCCAGATGGTAACTCCTTCCTGCCCAGTGTTGTTAGGACAGTGTCAGTGCTTTTTATTAGAACTGACCACTGTATTGGTGTCACTGGGGATGTCAGTGACACCAAGTCAGTTCCCCCCCAGTCTCAGAATGCCATATAAAGCAGTGTGCTTACATTGTAAAGTACACACACAGCACAAAGTTAACCCTTTGCGGCCTCGGCTGTCAATTACCGGGTCCCGGCCGGTGATTCCCTGCCGGCACCCGGAGATCGCCGAGTATTACAAACAGGGGAGAGACTTGTGTATAAACAACACAAATCTCTCCCCTGTCAGCTCCTGCACACTGCTTTGTATGGCTCTGCATAGCAGAGCCATACAAAGCAGTGTGCTTACATTGTAAAGTACACACAGCACAAAGTTAACCCTTTGATCGCCCCAGATGGTAACTCCTTCCTGCCCAGTGTCGTTAGTACAGTGTCAGTGCTTTTTATTAGAACTGACCACTGTAATGGTGTCACTGGGGATGTCAGTGACACCAAGTCAGTCCCCCCCAGTCTCAGAATGCCCACCGCAGTCCCGCTATAAGTCGCTGCTCGCCGCCATTATTAGTAAAAAAAAAAAAAATTACAGTATATATACCACCATTTGAAAACGCTATAACTGTCACATAAACCATTTAATTTACACGTATTGGGATTTTTTTTTAGCAAAGACATGGAGCAGAATACATTTTGGTCTAAATTTATGGCGAAATTAGATTTTTTAAATTTTTTTAGTGGACATGTTTAATAGCAAAAGTAAAAAATATTGTTTTTTTTTCAAATTGTGGGTCTTTTTTTGTTTATAGCGCAAAAAAAAAACCCGCACAGGCGATCAAATTTCACCAAAAGGAAGCTCTATTCGTGGGAAAAAAGGACGTATAGTTAATTTGGGTACAGCGTTGCATGACCGTGCAATTTGCAGTTAAAATATCACAGCTCCGTATCGTGAAAAATGGCCTGGTCAGGAGGGGGGTGGTAAATCCTCTGGAGGGCAAGTCGTTAAAATGAAGGGGGTTATTTACTAAAACTGGAAAATGCAAAATCTGGTGCATTTCTGCATAGAAACCAATCAGCTTCCAGGTTTAAGGCTGGTTTACATCTGTGCAGGTGGTGCCGCTGTGGATCCGCACAAAAATATGTGCAGCAGCATCACCTGCACAGAGGAAAGCGGACTCGCACTGGAATTTGCAACCATACTGGGAACCTTAGTTCCCGCGCAGGCTGCATTTTCCAAAGAAGTGCAGGGACATCTTCCCTGTGTGTCCAGAGGCACGGGAGTCCATTCAAATGAATGGGCTCTTGTGTCCACGCAAAACTCGGTCCGCACGGCCACAGATATGTGAACCGGGGGTTAATTGAACAAGCTGAAGTTAGAAACTGATTGGCTACCATGCACAACTGCATTAGATTCTGAGTGCTCCAGTTCTAGTAAATCTCCCCCTAAGATTTTATATGAACAGTTAAAAAAAAAATATTGAACATTAGTTTATATGCTTGTAAAAATGAAAAACAAATTAAAAGTTATAGTTTGTCCCTCTGAGAAAAAGCATGATTGTATTTTTTTTTTTTTATTATTAACTTAATCTTCATCATGTCAACATATTTACAGCTGAATCCATTATTTTTTTTTCATAGTATTTCGCTGTTTATTGTAACTGTTATTATCCCTGTAAGATTCGGTTTTGCAGTGGGTTTAAACTAGTTCATAGAACTTTTCAGTTGATTGCAAATCAGAAATGTTGGTCGTTTTGAAACATAAAGGTGTACAAAACAACCAGAATTGGTTCTTTAACCAATTCAATACCGTGCAATTTTACACCTTCCTGCCCAGGCCATTTTTCAGGCTTCAACGCTCTCACACTTTGAATGACAATTGCGCGGTCATACAACATTGTACCCAAACTAAAATTTTATCATTTTCTTCACACAACTAGAGCTTTCTTTTGGTGGTATTTAATCACTGCTGGGGTTTTTATTTTTTGCTAAATTAACAAAAAAGACCGAAAATTTTGAAAAAAAAAACACGTTTTCTTTGTTTCTGTTATAAAAGTTTGCAAATAAATAATTGTTCTTCATAAATTTAGGCCGAGATGTATTCTGCTACATGTCTTTGGTGAAAATAACCCAAATTAGGATGTATTTTTTAGTTTGTAGGAAAGTTATAGAGTTCACAAACTATGGTATAGATCTGAATATTAATCAATCCTGAAGTACTGACAGCCAATCTAATTTCTTGAGGTCCAAGAATGTCAGAACAGTACAGATATCCCCCAAATGACCACTTTTTGCAGAGTAGACAGTCCGACGTACTTCATAAGAGGCATGGAGAGTTTTTTGAAGTTGTATTTTTTCTGTCATAATTTTTCGTAAAATGAAAAAAAAAAAAAAAAATTCTTTTCACTATTTTTTTTTTTTTACATACTGTCACCAGTGCAGTACAGTGTCATCATATAACTGGTATAGCGGTGATAAGGGACACTGACTGGTGACAGTGTGAAAAAAAAAATAAATATTTTTTTTTAATTTAAAATTTTTATTGAATTTTTTTTCTTTTTTTTAACATTGTACTACTTTGGGGAAGTGATCAGTATTTTTTTTTTACACAATTTGCTTATAGCAAAGAATTACTTTGCTATAAGCAAGCATTTACCTGAATGACATCGATTCATTAACGTTTTTTTTTTTTTGTGCTTAGCTGTGATTTGGCTACAGCTAATCACATGACATGTGCATGTGATTAGCTGTGACCATTCACAGCTAGACACTAGTATACAATGGATGGCATGAAGGAAGCCATCCATTGTATACAACTGTCATGTGACCTGCTGTGATTGGTCACAACAGGTCACATGGTACCGGCAACGAGCGCCGGTACTCAGATCTGTCATCGGACGTGTCCAAGGTACACGGCCGGTGACAGATCGCGCCGCTGCGCGGCTCTGCAAGCGTGCAAACTGCGCATGTGAGGGAGGACGCCATATGGCGGCTTCCCGGAAAGCTAATACATTTTTACGGACGCCATTTGGCCATAGGCCGGGCGTCAAATGGTTTAATATACTTAAAAAACTGTCATTTATTTGATGTAATTTTTGTCTATTTTTTTTTTAATGAAAAATATTATAAAAAACAGTGCCGTACCCTCGCCATAATAGAGATACCAGTCTGGTACATCATGGAGTAGATGTGCTAAAACTGGTGCACTCAGAATTTGCACCAGATTTTGCACTCTTCAGTTTTAGATAATAAATCCCCATGTATACAATTTGATATTTTTATGGCGGAAGGGCCCCCAACACACTTATACCAGCCTGTATGCCCTTCTGCACTGGTGCTGATGGGCAAGGAGCTCCGGAGCGGGGGTGTTAGTCACTGGTCAAATTGTGCGATTTGTGTGTAATTTCAGTGCGGTTTCATGTGCGATTTCTGAAGACTTTATTGGTACTTTTCAACGATTTCTTGCAATTTGCAGTGCGATTTCCTTTTATTCTATGTATGTGAAATTGCAACACAAACAACTGCAGAAAAAGTCATGCAACAACTATTTTAGAAATCGCGCTGTAGCAAATTGCAAATGTTAAGATAATGACATTCACGTGCATTAGATGCAATTTCAATTTGTAAATCGCACCTGAAATCGCACTGGTATGACCAGGCACTTAGGCTCAACAACCTATTGGCAAACAAAACCAAGGGTCATGTGACAATACACCAGAGGGTTACAGCATTATTACTGTTTCTGGACAATAGACTCATAGCGGGAAGCTGGCTGTGAAGCCTCAAGGAGTCACTGCTGGCTTCCCACACTAGACATGTCGGTGCTGAGGACTCAAAGACCGCTGAAAAACCGGCTCGGGAGAGGATGACGTTGGATACCTGGAAAAGTAAGTGTCATTAGATTAAAAGTCAGCAGCTACAGCATTTGATTTTTTTTTTTTTTTCTACAGACTGAAGACTCGCTTTAAGAAATGCTTTTTAAAAAATTGATTCACTGCATGAATCAAAACGCTGCTTTAATATAAAAGGCCAATGCACTTATCATCCCCATACATTATGCAGAAAGTCTCTCTCTACATACTGTATATATTTATAAGTATATATTAGCTAGTAAGAAAGTCCGTAGGGCTGTTCATTGTATTTATTACTATATAATTTTGTGTCCTTGAGAAAGTGGACTGTTCACCAATGAAACGTCACTTTAATAAACGACACCGTTTTGCTTTTAATAAGCCCAGTGAGTGGGATATGTTTATGTACACACACACTATATTGCCAAATGTATCGTGCCGCCTGCCTTTACACGCACATGAACTTTAATGGCATCCCAATCATAGGGTTCAATATTGAGTTGGCCCGCCCTTTGCAGCTATAACAGCTTCAACTCTTCTGGGAAGGCTGTCCTCAAGGTTTAGGAGGGTGTCTATGGGAAGGTTTGACCATTCTTCCAGAAGCACATTTGTGAGGTCAGGCACTGATGTCGGGGGAGGAGGCCTGGCTCTCACTCTCTGCTCTAATTCATCCCAAAGGTGTTCTATGGGGTTGAGGTCAGGACTCTGTGCAGGCCAGACAAGTTCCTCCACCCCAAACTCGCGCTCATCCATGTCTTTATGGACCTTGCTTTGTGCACTGGTGTCAGTCATGTTGTAACAGGAAGGGGCCATCCCCAAACTGTTCCCACAAAGTTGGGAGCATGAAATTATCCAAAATGTCTTGGTATGCTGATGCCTTAAGAGTTCCCTTTACTGGACCTAAGAGGCCAAGCCCAACCCCCGAAAAACAACCCCACACCATAATCTTCTCTCCACCAAACTTGGCACCACACAGTCAGGAATGTACCGTTCTCATGGTAACCGCCAAACCCAGACACGTCCATCAGATTACCAGACAGAGAAGCATGATTAATCACTCCAGATAACATCTCCACTGGTCTATAGTCCAGTGGTGGCATGCTTTACACCACTACATCTGACGCTTTGCATTGCACTTGGTGATGTAAGGCTTGGATGCAGCTGCTCAGCCATGGAAACTCATTCTATGAAGCTCTCTATGCACTGTTGTTGTGTTACTCTGAAGGACACACCAAGTTTGGAGGTCTTTAGCTATTGACTCTGCAGACAGTAGGCGACTTTTGTGCACTGTGCGCTTCAGCATGTGCTAACCCCGCTCTGTTATTTTACGTGGCCTAGCTGTGGAGTTGATGTTGTTCCCAGTTGCTTCCACTAACAGTTGACCGTGAAATATTTAGTAGCCAGGAAATGTCCCGGATGGACTTAATGCACAGGTGGCAACCTATCACGATACCACGCTTGAATTCACTGAGCTCCTGAGAGCGACCCATTCTTTCACAAATGTTTGTAGAAGCAGTCTGCATGCCTAGGTGATGATTTTATACACCAGTGGCCATGGAGGTGATTGGAACACCTGAATCCAATGATTTGGAGGGGTGCCCCAATGCTTTTGGCAATATAGTGTATACACACACATACACTATGTTTACAAAAGTTGTGGGCCCCTCACCGTCAAAACAACTAAATAGCCAGCATTGTGTGGAC